TATATTGGCTAAAACTATCATTATTAAAAGGATTATCTTGGAAAAAAATGCATAAATATAAGAGACAAAATGGATTGGGTCTTATAATTAGGACCAAATAAAAAGTCAAATTGGGTCTTATAATAAGGACCGGAGGAGTAAAAAGATAAAATATTATTTTTATGGTTAAAATAAAAATATTTTTACACATTTTAATTATTATTAGTTTAACTTTAATCTGACTCCGATATGATTTATTAACTCTTGAACCAATATTTCTACTAGTTTATTAAACAATCCAATTTCTTTTGTCTTTGCACATAATCATCGAGAAAATATGGATAACCTTTTCGTCCAAAAAAAAAAATCAAAGGGGAGTTTTAAAGGTGTTTTTGAAAAATCAACATTATAGGCTTGTTTGAAACAACTTATAAGTGGCTTATAAACTGTTTTTAATAGTAATTTACAGAATACGAGGCAAGTATGTGAGAAAAGTTGTTTCGGTTTACGTGAAACGTGCTTATAGGGGATTTTCACCGTTCTGCCAAACAGATCCTATATTCTAAGAGAAAAAGTTGATTTATGAACCAAGTATTGGATGTTCTATTAGAGGAGAAGAGTGTACAAGGATTTTTATTGCTTATAGACTATAAATGCTCAATTTGTCTCATTCCAATCAATTTGAGACAGGATGGGAGGGAACAAGATAAAAAAGATTTTGAGACATGACAACTACAAGTCTTGTGGTATTTTCTCCCATTTCTTTCTTTTTTTGTAAATTTACTTATTAATAATTATTATTAGATTATTCAATTTACTTATTAATAATATTTTTTTTGTACAATGATTTTCAGTTCTTAAGTCGTAGACTAGTGTTATCTCAGTATAATCTCCTTCCTTAATAAAACAATTCATAAAGTTATTATATATTATTTCTTTTACTGTTTTTTCACAGTATTGTTTTTATATTTTTTTATAATTAGACTTGCTACATAATATTGTTTTAATATTTTTATCTTCAAAAATAGAATAAAAAACAAATATTAAACATAAAAAATATTCAAACCCAAAATTAAAGTGGTTTGTAAAAAAAATTAGAATGAGATGTTTTGACCCATCCTCTTTTTGTCCTAGTTCTAATAGGACAAGAACAGTCTCAGGAAGGGAGAGGGGACGGAAACTCCGCCCTGTGAACAACCCTAAATGGGACTCAAAATATTAATAATAAACATTGGAGATATCAAAAGAATTAAATTTGCAGTGTATAACATATAGAGCACATGTAAGAGTGCTTAAAATTAAGACACTAAAAATCAGGTTAGTCAATAGTCAAAACAGTAAGTTAAGGGTCAATAGGTTAAATTTGGTTAAATTGATAATAATTAAAATAATATAATTTAATTAAAAAGTATAAATATATTTGTATTTTAATAATGAAAAAATAATAATCAATATTTTAATGGATAAGGTGTTTATCTGTTTATAATTTTTTTCCATTTTATTAGTTTCTTTTTTTTCCCTTTTTTTTATTTTTTTATCACTTCTCTATGCGTCAAATCGTCTTGAAATATTTTTTTAAATGTATCATGTATCTTAAAGTATTGTAATGCATTCAACACCCTTATATATTTTTTAGGTATATCTAAACCCAAAAAAATACTAAAATTTTTTTTAATGATAATTAATATGCATGTATTTAGTAGATCTTTTGGAAAACTAATTAGAAAATCAAAATTTTTTAGGAAAATTACAACTAAAGACCCCTAAAATATATAAAATTGTGATCTGGGACTCTTAATTTAGAAAATAGTAAATAAAAACCTGGTTTTATTTTTGTAAATATCAAATCGTAGTGAAATGTCTGAAATGCTTTTCAGTCAAATTGTGATTTGGTCTACTGAAATTGTCATTCATTAAAGTAAACTTGTCATTTCCCATAATCAACTTATCATTTGGTATTCTTTCAATCAAATTGTGATTTGATTTATTAAAATTGTCAAAACTCAAAATAAAATTGTTAAAAGTCTTTATTTGTGTTTTTTCAGTTTTCAAAATCTTTTTTTACAATTTTTTCAATGAAAAATATACTTCGCTCTGCGTTCAGCACATCAATTCTTTTCTCTTTCTGCTCTTTCACACGCAATAATCAATGGGATTGACGGGACTGACAAAACTTTAATCTCCCTGCTCCATTATTGATGTGACTTTAGTCTACCATCATTTCCTCGCAATACCTCCTCAGAGTTTCGAACTTGCAACGCGACTTCAGGCTTTCTCCAGTCAAGAGGGGAGCAACCTGCCAGCAAGTCTCAACTTAATCACAAGCTAGAAGGAGTCTTGCACTTTCAGCAGCCTCCATGACTTCTCCTTGATCAGATCCAACCGGTCCGTCTTCTGATTATTGTGATTTTGCATCTTTAGTTTCGGTTGATTGTACCTTGGGATGGGACAAAGTTTGGCTTCATAGTTTCATAGCTTTGGATCAAAGAAGACACTGCTATTATCTTCTTCCTTATTTTCTGCTGGCTTCAAATCATCCATCTCAGCTCTTCCAAAATCCTGATGCAGGTAACTTCTTTAAGTTCTCTCTTTATTTACGCTGCTCGGTTATTGTTTCTGCTATATAGTTTTGCTTTGATTAGGGTATCCATATTCCATATCTATTTATAAGGAATAATGGGGAAAGAAGGATCAACTGGTGGAAGGCCTAAGGATGTTGAAGCGTGGAAACACGTCACTGTATTGGAAGGGGAGAAGAAAGTAAAGTGCAATCATTGTGAATTTGAATTTGCAGCAAGTACGAATCGAATCAAATCTCATATTTATCAAATCAAGGGTAAGGGTATTCGACCTTGTACTGCTCCTCTTTTCACCAAAGACACCAGCCTGAAACAGGATCACTTTCATTCACAAGGTACGAGATAATATTATTTTAATTTGAATGAATAATGATGTATACTATTTTATTGACAGAAAGATTAATAAAGTCAAGGAAATGACTTAATTATATCATATTTTTAATGAATTTTTTGTCTATTATTTTTAATATAAAAGTTAGTTGAAAATTCTATTTGTTTTTAAATATAAGATATCAGTTCATTTTTTGTCTCTTGTCCAAAATATCCTTATTTATCACTTTTGCCCAAAATATCCCTATTTATATTAATCATGAGAGGTAGTAATTTATAAGTTTGACAAATTAATTTGAAGAAAATGATAAATATAAACATTTTAGAGTAATTTATTTAGTTTTTTTAATCTTCTCAAATTAGTTAATTGGGTCTTATATTAAGAATTAGGAGAGAGAAGTAGTATGTTGGTATGCCTTGAAAGGGTATGGTTAGGATTTCGGTTTTTAATTTCTACTAAGAAATAAAGTGTAGTAATCTCCTTAAGAGAGACTGAAGTATCATTTTCGAGTATAAATAACATAAGTATATTTTGTTATCCTTTCCAACGTGAATATAAATGAAGTTAAACAGTAATTACTGTTGTGTGAAATTAGTTTATCATAAAAGGAGTGTCAATAAATTTTGTTATTTTTAATATTTCTTCGCCTAAATATCAGCACATGTTTTTTTTGGGATTTTTTTTCACCTCACGTGTTTTCTGGATTATATAAATTGTGGATTGTGATGACTAGTGTATGTTAATTCTAATAAATAAGATATTCCTCAGTCTTTATCATATATTGGAGTGAGGAATGATTCATATGAACTATATGAGAGCTAATTTAATTAGTAGCCGACTATTAACTCGTAGTTTAGAAAGTTTGAATTTATACTGTGACTTTGGCAACTAATTAATGTACTCATTAATTATACTTAAAATAGGACCGAGAGATCATAACAAACTCCATGAAAGAATGCTTGATTGTTACATGTCCCCCAAAACAATGTGGGAAGGGATGAAGGCTCCCCAGCAAGTTCAAATCGACTCAGAAGCTATGCATCAAGGGAGGATTAAGGTCGGCCCTTTTTGTGTTCCCAATAATGTTGTGGACGAACCTGACTTACAATTGATACAATATGTTTTTGAGCGTTTGAGGTTAGATTCATATGCTCACAACTATATATATGTGTATATATTATGCGTAAGTAGTAGCGTGTAGTTTTTCTAATGTGAAGCCTAATTAAATCATTCACCTTACATGTTCTTTAGGGATAGATGTGTAATTTTTTCATTGCATCGAGGTACACATCTGAGTCAATCTAAATTGACCACACTTGGACCACGGGCTCATTTGGATTCTTGCGTGAGTATTTACTAATACTTTCATGGGTTAAGATATAAATTTGTTCTGAAAGTTTTTACCTAGAAGCATTAGGTACTTAAAAGTTTTTTTGGGTTTTAAAATCGTAGCAATATTGTCTCCTACTGCTAAAAAACTGATGTTACAGTAATGTTGGCTATTAATATATTTAATGATATGAGGCAATATTGCTATAATTTTAAACTTTCGGGATAAATTTGTACCTTAACCCTACTTTTATTCTATTTTGTTACTATTGAGCAAGGGGTTCACTATATGGTATTGTTTAATTTTCCTATTTTCTTAGGTAATAAATATTTTTGCTGATATCCTCACTGACAATGAAAGGAGAAACAAAAGTAAAGTTTCGAATTGGTATCTTCCGGTGATGTTTTCGGTGATTTCTTATTCCCTTTTCAGTTGGATGATATTTGTTAGTTATTGAATCAAAGACAATTTAATTGACAAGAATATTTAATTAAGGATTCTTTCGTTATAGAATGTAGCACTCAATAGTGGTGATGTAAGTTCTTTCCTTGACTTTGTTTGACGGCATAATATGAGAGCCAATTACATGTCGGACTTGGTAGATTGTGAGAAGGTATTATCTTTCAATCTAGTTTGATGTTTCATTTCTCATAATGATTACTATTTTTGGTTGTATATCAATTTGATTTGTTTGATCACATGCATGTCACAGATATTTATTCCTGTTCATGTTGGGAAAAATTCATGTGGACATTATTATCTATATATTATTCATATGAAGAATCAGGAAGTTGAAATATGGGATTCTCTATGTGATCGATTTACGGATAAAATTGAACGCGACCAAACAATAGAGAAACTGGTAAGTATTACAAAGATGCACGTGATATACATGCAAGTAATAGATTGATCTTTTAATTCTTTAGGATGTATCTTTTTTGTGTAGCTGCTTGCCATGGATAATCTCTTTGAAAATGTTATGTTCACGAAATTTGATAGGAGAATGGCGAGCAATATCTTATTACAGCGTAATGGGTGAGTTTATGATTTGTTTTTAAATTGTAGTCTTTATTAAAACAAGTATGCATATTGACCATATCATATTTTTTTTCAATATGTAGACATGATTGTGGTATATTTGTTATTAATTATATGCAACAATCAGATCATTATGTGAAGCAAAATCCCTTATTTCAGGTATGGTCACTTGCAAATTAGTTTTGCTAAATGCTCTTATACACATGCATGCACATGAATACATGAACACTATCATATATTAAATAATACATATGGACAAATTTCAGTTTGACAGTGATAAAGAAAGGTTGGATTTGGCTTTGAAGTTACTCAAGAGTAACCTGAATAATGAGAAAGAAAGACTATATGATGAAGCAGCAAGAAGTTATGCAAAAGCCCATACTGAAGAAGATTTAGATTTACGTGGAACTAAAAGAAAGTGGGTTGAAGATGTTGGAAGACGAGGGGCATACATGGAATTGGATGATTCTGATAATATAGCGAAGAGAAAAAATGTTCGTTTGAAAACAGGTATATGCTTCAACTTAAACTATATATACTTTTTTTGAGAAGTGATTTGTAAAAAAATATTTATACATTCTTTGTAATTTCTCCTGAAGTGAGTAACCGCTATCATCAAATCATGCTAGATGATTATTACTTTGTTTTAAAGACATGGTAAAGGATATCTAAATGCAATATATTGAATTTATTTCTATTTTGTTCTTCTTACTTTCTGCATTTGAAATCTATAATTCCTTTTGTGAACTCATGTTAATGGATTATTCTTACTCTTATTGCTAGAATGTTCTAGAGGTTATTTGTTGCCGACAATTGATTTAGTGGGAGAAGAGTTTCAAAGGAGTACTCAACAAATATGGAAATGGATAACAGAAGATGAGGTGTCAGCTGTTGGGATATGGGGAATGGGCGGAGCAGGGAAAACAGCTTTAGCAACTCATGTGCATAACAAACTTTTAGAAGAAGCTGGTGATGACTTGGAGCATATTATTTGGGTCACTGTGTCACAATATGATAATAGCATTTGTAAGTTGCAAAAGGCCATTGCAAGATCAATTAATTTAGAAATATCTGATGAGTGTGATGTCAAAAGGATATCAGGGAAATTATTGCATGCATTCAAACACATAACTAGATGTGTCCTTATTTTAGATGATGTTTGGAATCCTATCTATTTGGAAGAGGTTGGATTTCCAGTTTCAAATAATGGGATTAAATTGATTTTGACAACTCGATTGTGGGAAGTGTGTCAAAGTATGAATTGCATGAAGAACATAATAGAAGTAGAACCTCTAGGCAAAAAAGATGGTTTTGATTTGTTTACAAAGACTCTTGGAGTCCATCAAATACAACCGATTGGGGTGGAGACTAAAGCAAGGGCGGTGGCAGAACAATGTGAGGGTTTGCCCCTTGCAATTGTTATGATAGCAAGAAGCATGAAGGGAAAAGAGCACATAAGAGAATGGGATCATTTGTTGGAATGCCTTCAAAACATGGGTGACGGGCAATATCATATGGATGAGAGGGTATTTCAGGTATTGAAATCTAGTTATTCTTTCTTAAACAATAAATTGCAAAGGTTTTTTTTGTACTGTGCATTGAGTGTTAAGGGGACTGTATTGGATATTGTTACTAAGCCTTTTATGAAAAGATTTTTCTATGGGGAATGGACAGATGGGACAAAGAGCTTCACGATGCGATATAATGAAGGTTATGCCATGTGGCAAAAGTTAAAAAATAGCAGTTTGTTGTTGAAAAAGAATGGGACATGCAGAGTGCACACTTTACTTCAGGTCATGGCTCTCACTATTGCAAAGAAGACTGAAAAAATCATGACAAAACATGGTATGAATTTAATAGGATTGTCAGAGAATGGAAAATGGAATGAAAATTTGCAGAATGTTTTTCTAAGTGGAAGCGAGGTACCACAAATTTTTAATGACACATCTCCCAAATGCTCTAAACTTTCTACATTACTGTTAGATTCTAGTTGTTTCCTACGGATTCCAGATGATTTTTTTATTAACATGCCTGCCCTTAAAATACTTGATTTGTCTCGGACAAACATTGGGCATTTGCCCAAATCTGTATCTAACTTGGAATGTCTCATTGCATTATTACTTTCACGATGTAAAGGATTGAAGTATGTCCCTTCATTAGCAAAACTGTGGCGTTTAATAGAGTTGGACCTTTCATATACTGCAATCAGTGAAGAACCTTGTGGCTTGGAATTGTTGGTGAATCTTGAATTTTTGAATCTAGAAGATACATATATGTTCACAATCTCATCATCAACAATATCCAAATTGACCAATCTACAGTCTCTGTTGATGAGAAGGCACTTAACGTTAGCAGATCTACGAGGTTTGAGAAAGCTGAAAGTTATATCAGTCACTTTTTATGATATTGAAAAGTTTAATGACTTTGTTATAAGTTTCCTAGATGAAGATCGCGGGCTCAAAAGTTATTATCTAAGTTTAGTCATACGACCTTGTGGTGATGATTATTCATTTAATGTAGAAGCCTGCCACTTGAAAAGGGTGTTTTTATTTGGTATTGATTGGGCAAATAGAGTAGCGGTACTTCCAGGAGACGTCAAAGAGTTGATTATAAGCAAGTGTGACCATTTGACAAGGACAACTTGGCTTTGTCGTGCTTTATCGGTCCAAAAAAATAATAATAATTTACCAAAAATTGAACGGTTCGAAATAAGTGAATGCGATGAGCTGGAGTACTTGTTCTGTGGCGCTCCCACTTGCTCATTTTGCGCCTCTGTCATGTTAGTTGAAAGGTTGTACCTTCGTTGGCTGAAAAACTTCACACAAATAGTGATGCCACTTCCTCTGTCCTTGGATAGCCTGTTCCTTTATCTCAGAGAGCTCGATATTTGTGGATGTAGCGAAATGACGATTCTGATGACGTCAGAATTATTAGCACAGCTCCAAAACCTAGAGACTATTTCTGTTGCATCTTGTAAGTCGATGAAAGAAATAATTAGAGAGAATGGCGGTAACACTTTTAACCCTACTATCACTCTTCCCAAAGTGAGATCTTTTAGACTGACTGATCCACCAGAATTAACTTTTGTATTCAAAGGGACCATGCTCTGTCCTTCTCTCCAATGTTTTGAGGCCCGCTATCGTGAGAAACTAAGCCCCCCTCATATAGAGATCAAAGAAGGATATAAGCTTCAAACGCAAATGAAAATAGAGAAGCCATTTTTGGGACTCGGACTCTATTGGGAATATGATATTCAGGTGCAAATCTCCTCCAAGATTTGACTTTCTTTTTTATTATAATATGGATATCATCTCATTATTTATCTTCATAATATACGTATATGAACATTGCTATTGTCTGTGTTTGCTTTATTTTTCTCCATTTTGATTTTTAAAAATCGTCTGACATGAATTTATATCAAATTAAATTTGGCTGTTCAATTACTCCATGTTTGCCCTTATTTCACTCTGTTGTTTGAATTTAAGTCTAGCACTTCGTTTTCGCAATGATGAAAGTTGATGATTCCTTGATTAAATTTATGTCCTAAGCATTCATTGACGCATCAAGAAAATGAAAGATCTATTAATTTTGCCATTTATTTTTCGATAGTGTTAATACTTTTGCTGTTTATATGTATGCTTTATGGTTGTCGTGCTAATAATTTCCTATGAATGTTGTTGTTGGGTCTAGTTTTTTGGGTTTTGGTCCTAGCATTGAAAATCCACTTAGATCTGGTCCAAAATTACAAGGCAAAAACTCGAGGGTCTTCCCCCGCCCCCTCTCCCTCCTTTTTAATGGCGAAATCATCGTAATTATGTAATGGATCAAAACTAAACTAATTATATACTACTCTTCTAATATTTAATATAAGACCTATTTAACTAACTTGATCAGATTAAAGAAGTTAGGCAAGTCAATTAATTATAAGAAATATGACATGTTTTTCCTAAAACACCATAATCATCTTGCTTAATATCCTTCCTTCCTCTTTTATTTGATTATGCTTGGAGGAGTATCAATAGGGGTAATTTAAGAAAAACTAATAAATATGATAAATAGGTTTTATATTTAGAATCAAAATGAACTCAACAATTAGGTCCTATATTAAATAGCAGAGGAGTAATAATCAACTCCCATTGATTCATTTAAACACAAATCAATTGGTAGAAACTCCTTAGAATTGAAATCGAACCATTCATAAACCCTAATTTCAAGTATCAGAAAATCCATAACTCTAAAGTAGAAGGATGTAAAATCGAATTAGAACACCTACCTTAGGTTTTATCAAGCCCTATCAGAGGAAAACTTCTTTTCTCCAAAATATCTTTTCTTTCCTCTCCTTTGTATCGATCATTGTCATCAATTTAAAACACTAAGCCGGAGTCATTTTTTGCCGAGAACATGATTGAAGAAATCATATCCTCTTTTCGTCAACAATCTCCCCACCCCCACTATATATATATATATATATATATATATATATATATATCCTTCATTCACAATCTTACGTGCTTCTATACATCAATGAACACAAGTAAGCTCCTCTAAACCTTAGATGACTGTGCTGAATTAAAATTGGGATGTTACACAAACCAATTGTTGTACAAGTTTGTTATGTTTTTAATTAACGTTGTTGGATTTATACTGACAACTGAGTCCTAATTAGCTAGATTGTGTGGGCCATTTTGTCCCCAGAATTGTTCATCTCTTTTTTGCCTGATATGGCTCTGACTAAAGCTTACATAAAATTGATATTCAGGAACATTAATATGAAGATGAAGCGGAAGATGACGGATATATATAGAATTGTAGTTAAAGGCTGTGTTAATGACTATAACAATAAGAAGGGTCGCGCTTTTGGCATTGGATGTGTGAGAGGCTCCTTCCTTCATTTCATGGCTCTTGTTCTATATATATAGGAGTATCCCATACCTCACAATCTTGTATTATATATAGGACTACGTCTGGATTTTTTGGTAGTTTGGTGTATGTATCATTTTGGTCCTATCGTGCATTGCAAGTTTACGGTCTTCTGGAACCCAAAATGATTGTGTTACAAAGTCAAATGGGATTATTAAGGTTCAGATGGAGAAGATCTTGACTGGAAATGTGATTATCAGGTGCACGTCTCCAAAATTCGACACCATTTTACTATATGGTTTTCCAGACTAATAATTTATCGTGAATATTGGCTCTAGTTAACCCTGTATGTTTTCTTATTTTTGATATTATTTTGTCTTAATATTATTTATCGTGTTGAGAGTATTGGGTCCATAATTAAGGGGAACCTATCATGGGTTTTTTCTTAAATTTCTTCAATTTCAACTTTCCTTAAGATTATTCTGAACGTGAGTTCGTGAATTCAAACCACTGAAAAATAGTACTCCTCCGGTCCTTAATATAAGACCCATTTAACTAATTTGATTAGATTAAGGAAGTTAGGTAAGTTAGTTAATTATAAGAAATATGACACGTTTTTCCTAAAATACCATAATCATATTTCTTAATACTCCATCTTTTTCTTCTACTTGATTATGGTTGAAAGGGTATCCATAGGGGTAATTTAGAGATAATTGATTAAATATGAGAAATGGGTCTTATATTTAGGACCAAAACCAACTCACCAATTGGGTCCTATATTAAGAACCGGAGGAGTATAATAAATATGTGAATTATGAAAAAAAAATTTTAAATAATATGTCACTTTATTTTGCTCCTATACATTGAACCCTTTGAAAAAGAGACCGTGGCAGATCATGAATTAATTTCTTTATTGTATTCGCTGGTCTTTAAAAAAAAAACTTTATTGGACTTCAAGTAAAATTTAAATGTTGTGACAAATGAGTAGGCAATAGATATTATATGAAAAAAACCTTCGGTGAAATTCATGGTCATGTGTCTAGTTTTATTTTATGTGAATTCACAATTAAATAGTATTAAATGCTAATATTTTAAAAATAAGATGCATAGTTATGTGTGATTAGAGAATACTTGATATAAGTATTGCCCATATTATATTCACAATTTTAAAACATTAAATTATGGCTTAAGATCCACCCAATTATCTTAAAGTATTTTTATAGGTGCATTCAATATATTAAAATATTTTGTAATGCATCTCACATTCTAAATTATTTTTTTAGAATGCGTTTAGTATCCTAAATTATATTTTGGTGCATCCAACACTTCAAATATTTTTTTTCCAGATTTTTTGCACTAAAGAATATTATAAATTACTAGATGCACCTAAAAAATATTTTAAGATACTCAATATACCACAAAATATTTTATGATTTTCCATGTACATGGAAAAAAAAATGCTACAGTACATTCACCTTTGGAACACTCCAATTTAGTCTTGATAATTTCTTTATTTATTTATGGGAAAGTTTCAATTAAGGACCTCTGTAGCAACATAATTTTCATTTAGGACCAAATAATTCTGAAACATCACTGCAACAAGACCAAAAGAGTCAAATGAAATTAATTGAGGAATGAGAAAGACATAATTGCCCATGATAACTGTTTCTCCTTAAATTTAGAAAAAAATTGAGGGCTGCAAAATTAGGGTCATTCTTCCCACTCTTTCCTCTCTTACTCTGAAATTTCACAGACTCTTCCCTTTCTCACTCTCAAAACTCGTCATCCATCTTGTGCTTCTGTCACTCTAAAAAGTCGTCCAAAGGAGATTCATCGCCATTCATTGTGTTGGTTCTCTCACTCTCAAAACTCACAGAGATCGTCTGAGAGAGGTTTATTGTTCTTTCATTAATGAGCTTTTGCTTAGCTCTGGTTGGTTTTATATTCAATATCTGTGCAAAGGAGATTTTGATAATGAGATATCCCAACCTATATTTTACTATATGTCTCTTTTGGTATGGGTATTGTGTTATGTCTTTTTTATCTCTCCATATTAACTCCTATAATTGGTCATGCTTTCCGATTATCTTGTTTGTGATGTTTTTACTTTTAGCTGATTCATTCGCCCTCTGTAATTTCATATGATTTTGTGAATATTCTGTACTAAGTGGTAAATTGTAGTAATTTTTTATTTAGTAGTATAACAATTGAAGTTAGGTAATTTACGAGGAGAACTAATGAATTAACAAGCTAAATTTACAAGGAGAACTAGTGCATAACAATTAGTATATTTACAAGTATGAGGTTTATGTAAGAAGGAAAGTTGCATGCTATAAATTTACCATGCATTATTATACAGTGGTAGGAGTTGAATTATATGTTTATGACTTCCTTCATTATTCTGAGTTATGATTATTGCACCAGTGTGAACTTATTGACAGTACTTATTGTTGTGCCATATGATCAAAACACTTTACTAAGGTTTGAGTTGTTTGGTGGCTCGTTACTTGTAAAAGAAATATGGAGTCAGCTGCTATTACAAAACTACGTCAACAGATAAAGACACAACCAAAAAGAAAGCAATGACATAGCAATTGTTATATTTTTTATTTGAGATGTAATTTAAGCTACTACAAAATATGTTAAAATTTGTATATAGAGAATTTTCACAATTTCCTTTTTAGGGAATATATACTATGAGTATGTTACATATCACTTAATTCTAATCTTCTGTCTTTTCCCACCAACTCACAAGTATATGGTGTACTATTGACAACTGGAATTAGGAAATCTGCAATAAAGATAAGTTGATTCACTAGAAAAAGTTGTCTATTTGCAAGTAAGCTAATGTGACTGAAAAGTTGAATATGATAATATAATAAGTCTAGAGGGACTATTCACTAGCGGAATTAGCCAATTTGCAACAGGGATATGCACATTAACAATAAAAACTCGTCTATTTGCAAGTGAACTAGTTGAATTGAAAAAGTTAAATCTAATTTTTCACAAGTGTGGGGGGGACTTGTGAATTATCATATTCAACTTCTTGAATCCAACTAGCTTACTTGCAAATACATGTATTTTTGTTGTTAATATACATATCATTCTTGCAAATGTCTTAATTCCACTTGTGAATATCAACTTTTTTAATCACATTAGTCCACTTGCAAATGTATGAGTTGTTGTTAATACGTGTATTCGTATCGCAAATTATCTAATTCCACTTGTGAATGGTTTCCTCCATACTCATGAAAAATCATAATCAATTTTTTCAATTTAACTAGTTCACCTACAAATAGATGAGTTCTTATTGTTAATGTGCATAGTCCTATTGCATAGTGCCTAATTTCACTAGTGAATAGTCCCTCCAGACTTGTTATATTATCATGTTCAGCTTTTTCAATTAAATTAGCCTATTTGCAAATTAACGTGTTTCTGTTGTTAGTATACATATCCTCATTGCTAATACGCAAATTTTAGTTGTGAATATTCCTTCCCATACAATTAAATTTTCCGATTAAATTAACCCATTTGTAAATGAACATATTTCTGTTATTAATTTTTTTTTATCGTTGTTGCAAATTCACATGTTCTAATTGTAAATAAATTCTCTCACACTTGAAAATTATCAAGAACTTTTTCAATTAAATTAACTCATTTGCAAATGGACATATTTTTGTTATTAATTTATGTATTCTTGTTGCAAATTTTCAAGTTCCAGTTATGAATAATTCCTTCTACACTTGTAAATTATCAAGAACTTTTTTAATTAAATTAACTCACTTGCAAACGGATATATTTCTGTTTTTAAGTTATACAGCTGCACATTGGTAGGGTTGGACAAGCCAAGACCCTTTCCAGATGCCCAACCTGAAGAATCAATGGGTTGGAAAAGGCAACCCATTGCCCAGCCCGCCCATGAAAAGCCCTAATGAGTTTGGGCTGGGCAAATGTAGGCTGGGTAGGACGGGCTTCCGTGCCCAACAAATTAATATACCATATTAATTAATTAATTAATTATGTCTCTCTAAATAATTTAAGGTAACTTTATATTAAAATGGCAACTTCGTCTTAATTTGGTTGTTATTAATTAATATACTATGAAACTATATTTTGCAGTAACTGAGACGAGTGGATTATGACCAAAAAAAATGTTGTTATTATATTTTAGTAAACTTAATTGCTTTTTTGGTTTCTAAAATTTCTTAACGAAGTAAGAATATCTTTTTTCCCGTAACTCCCAAATACATATAAAAGTATGGAATCAGTTATATTTAAACAATCTTTGTTTTGGTTTAACAAATTTTTAAAGTTTCTTGATTGGCTTTTAATTCTAACCAAACAAAGAGACAACAATCTTAGAAAAACAAGAAGTAAAACAAATTTCAAAATAACTGAATTATCCTTTTATAGGCTACCGAAGTCATGCTTAAAATAAACGATATATAATTACTTATCTACCAATATATAAAGAGAATGGTCATACAGATCGCAGTAAATGATACGACGTCTAACTCTCAATCATCCAAAAATAAAATAAGTATAATAAACACTGAATATTGATATAACAGTGTATTTGATTTACGAGATAAATATGAGGCAAATAAAATATATATAAATAAAATTATATATATTTTTGCGGGCAAAGCTAAATGTGCAGTGTAGCATACCATGCCTAATGCCAACCCTGCCTGACAATTTATCTGGTCGGAACATGCCTAGTATTTCTTTCGAGCCATTTCTTTTAAGGTGGGCTGGGCACTTTTTTGGGGACATAGGCGGGCATAGCAGGCAACCGGGTTTTATGAACATCCCTATTAATTTATGTATTATCATTCCAAAATCACAAATACCATGTATGAATAGTTCCTTCCACATTTGTAAATTATCATGAACTTTTTCAATTAAATTAACACACTTATAAATAAAGGTGTTTCTGCTGTGAATTTATGTATCGAATCTCTTTTTACACAAATATTGAATATAAAACCAACCAAAGCTAAGCAAAAGCTCATTAATGAAGGAATGCTACTAGGGAAGCATGGGAAAGCTTTGATATATTTATTAATTCAATTTTTTAGATTCTCAACAGAGTGTGTGTGATGCATTTTAAGAGAGAGAGAGAAAAGACTAAAGAGAGATAATAATTGCGAAGAAACGTGTAAAGCATATACAACCATATTTTTTGTACTTTTTTTAATTTGTCACTCAATAAGTATATTTTATATATATATATATATATATATGTATGTACTGCATATAAATGTATGAATGAGATGGCTTCCAAGTTTTCTCTCTTAATTAGACCCTCCCTCTTGCTTTGTGTTTTCCTCTAGTTGTAGAACGTAGCACGCACCACAATGGCAATATCCTTGCCACTTGACGACAACGTCAATAAACCTCCCTTAGACGAAGCTTTGAGAGTAAAAAAAAAAAAAGAGTCTGTGAGATTTCAGAATGAGAGAAGAAAGAGCAAAAAGAATGGCCCTAATTGTTAGTCCTCATTTTTTTTTCCAAATTTAAGGGGAAACTGCTATTAGGTAATTATGTCTTTCTCATTCCGCAATTAATTTCATTTGGCTCTTTTAGTCTTACAATGATATTTCAGAATTATTTAGTCCTCAAACAAAAATTATGCTATCCCTTTATTTATTTTTAATATAAACGTTGAAACATGCATCCGAATTCTGACATCATCCCACGGCCTCATCCTCCATTTTGAAATTTCAGTACCCTAATTCAAGCACTCAGCCGCCGTGTAACTCCATTGCTGCTCCTCTGTCGTCAACTCCATCCTCGCCGGCAGTGCTGCTACCCTTCTCGTCCTTCACCCGTAGCCCATCGTGCTCGTCTAAGTCGTCTTCACTGTCGCCCACCGTGGTCCTCTTCGCCGTCAGCCACCGGTCCCCAGATCCGCATCGTCATCTGGAGAAGACAGGTAAGGTTCCGTTCTTCGATGGCCCCTGATTCCTTATTCCTTAAGTGCATCAAATGTTGTCCTTTCCTTCATGAATTGAGCAGAATGCCATGATGGTTTGTGGCATTAGTTGACTTGAACCCCTTTGTCCTTTACCTTTATTAGTAGTATTTTAAATTAGAGTCGTATTCTGATCATTATTTCTCATCACTCTTCGGTTAATCCTGCGGCATGTTTCAGTCGTTCAGTTAAGTTTAGATATGAATCCTATTTTCGCGAGGTGTCTTTTTTTGTTCTGGTTGTTCTGCAAATCTACTTAAAGCTTAGAAATTTTCAAATCTCTTATTTTTTTCCCTTAAATTTTTATTAGTTTATTCATTGTGGAAGTGGGAATTGGGTGATACTCCTCCGGTCCTTATTATAAGACCCTATTTGACTTTTTATTTGGTCCTAATTATAAGACCCCAATCCATTTTGTCTCTTATATTTATGCATTTTTTTCCAAGATAATCCTTCTAATAATAATAGTGTTAGTCAATATACTTAATTAACAAGGATATTTTAGGAATGACAACACTTATTTATTATAAATAACCAACTTAACTTACTTCCTTAATCTCTTCAAATAAGTCAATTGGGTCTTATAATTAGGATCGGAGGAGTACCATTTATCAAATGTTTTATCCGCGCTTGGTTGCTTCGAATTGAGCAGTTACGAGTTCAAATGAGTTTAAAGAAAAAAATGCTTCCAAATACGGCTTGTGATTGAGGTGTTCACTTTAATGTTTGATATTTAATGTTTAATTAATTGCTGCACATCAACTTAAGTTTGTTTTGCTTCAATCACTTAATACTTATGCAGCTTCCAATGTACACGGACTTAGGGGCCTCTGCTGTTCCTATTGCTTGTTGATGCCGAAGTTATCTTGAATTGCTTATGTTGGACTCTTGGACCATTTAAATGGAGAGAAAGACTGGATGTTGTGCAAGCCAATTGTTTGGCTGTTTATGCCATTTTTGGAGAAGATGCATTTTTGCTGTTTTATCTGCAGGTCCGGTGCCAAATCATATTGCTTTCATCATGGATGGAAATCGAAGGTATGCTAAGAAGAGAAACTTGGCTGAAGGTGATGGCCATAAGGCTGGATTTTCTGCTCTCTTGTCTATGCTGAGGTATTGCTATGAATTGGGAGTGAAGTATGTAACTGTATATGCATTCAGCATTGATAACTTCAAACGGCAACCAAAAGAGGTTCAATCCCTGATGGACTTGATGCGAGAAAAGATTGAGGAGTTGCTTCAAAAAGAAAGCATCATCAACGAATACGGTATTAGATTACATTTCATCGGAAACTTGCAACTACTTACTGAACCAGTCAGAGCTGCAATGGAGAAGGCAATGAAAGTAACTGCACACAACAACCAGAGGGTGCTTTTACTTTGTGTAGCCTATACTTCACGTGATGAGATTGTACATGCCGTTCAAGAATCCTGTAAGGATAAATTGAATGAAGTTCAATCATTGAAAGAGGGAAAGATTTCAAATGGTGTGATATCAAGAATTGTTGAGGGTTCAAATAGAAATGGTATGCACATGGTTGATCAACATTCTTTCAGAGACTATTTAAATGCAACCAATGTTTTTAGTAGTAGTAGTGTACTCAAAGGAGCTAAAGATGCTGAACATAGGGATGGTTTCTTTGTACATACTAATCAACAACAAAATAATGGCCAAGAAACTGAAATTATATCATGCAATGGGGTAATTGATAGTAGTGAAGAGAGAAGGAATAAGCAGGGCGAGCTTTCTGCTATAAAACTAGTTGACATTGAGAAGAACATGTACATGGCAGCAGCGCCTGACCCAGACATGTTGATCCGAACTTCTGGGGAGCTGCGACTCAGCAATTTTCTCCTTTGGCAGACTAGCACCTGTCCATTGTATGCACCAGCTGCTCTTTGGCCAGAGATAGGTCTATGGAACTTGGTCTGGGCAGTTCTGAGCTTTCAGAGACACCATTCGTATTTGGAAAAGAAAAAGAAGCAATCTTGATTTAAAGTTTAAACATTAGTAGCCAAAATCTCAGTGTAAATTATGTGTTGGCTAGATTGTTTTAATCTATTTTTGACCTTTTCTTTTATATTATTGATCTTTAACTATTTGTGGCACTGCTATTACCATTGCCAATGTTTAATAAAGTTTATTAGTATGATGGTATGGAAATTAGATGCCATTTTAATTGTCTGTGCAAAATTAGTTTATGTGAATTCAGAAAGAGAACATCATTATCTCAGTGATACTGTATCATATCTGAGATTGAGAAAATGAATGTGTGATTAGCTAATAATAAAATCATTTTGGATACTCTTCTTGCAAGATCAAGAGATTATTATCGAGTTCCATTTGCATCTTGGCCAATTTTAAAGGGTATGCCTTCCAGGTACTCCTTGTTGACAATCATGGTCCCCAAGTTGCAGGTGATTCCTTATACCAGAAGCAGGATATAGAGAGAGCATATGATTGCCATTTGCCAAACCTGGCGTTCAAACAATCATGCATAATATTAGGAATTGTGACCACACCCAAATTAGGTGAATTAGGTGTTTAATAAAGTTTGTTAGTATCTTCGTTCTGAAATTACGTGCCATTCTGTTGTATGTGCAAGATTATATGTAGATTCAAAACTCCGTCAGGTCCCCATAATGATACCATATTGTATTTGAGACATAGGCCACTGAATCAGGCCCAAAAAATTTAAAATTAGCTGAGACAGAGGCCCATTTAGTCCTAAAAAATTAGCTCTTTTATTTTATTTTTTTGGGTAAATATATAGTTCATTTGATTGTTTTTCTTCTTACGTGCAAATAACTCTTTATTGAAGCCAGTCTTATTTAAAACATGGTCTCCTTACATCAGTAATGGAATTCAAACTCACGACCTTGTGAGTTATAATTCAACTCCTTACCAATTAAACTAATTCTTGTTAGTAATTATGACCAACTCGTTTAATTTGGGATGTTAAACCAACTGCCCTCTTCTCCATTGTAAATTGGGCCTTTTGTACAGGTGAAAGCCCATTACTCTTTCAATAAATTATGACTTGATCTCTCCTATTATCTATTGTTGGTCAATGTTCAGTTAGTTGTAACAGTAACACTTGAAACATTTATGTTATTCATATTTTTATTTTATTTATAATAAAATTATTTTCCGCTTGGTGCACTTCACTTTCAGCATTGAAAAGGAATATGTGGAGAATATAAATCCATGCCTCATTGCAAAAGACAACGTATTCATACCTGTCTCCTAACTTCATAAATTAACCCTCTCTCAATCTCACAATAAATAAATCTCTGGATATTTATAATTAATCCTTTCCAGTATCTTACATTGCACCTCTTTTCTTCTTTAGCAAACCTCTGAAAGACATATTGGACTTTAGACTAATTTAAATTTAGATTAAAGTGTAAATTTGATCTTTTAATTTTATATAAGGTTTCAGTTTGATTTCTTAACTTTAAAAAATAAATTTTTAATCCTTTGATCCTCACATTGTTAATATGAAATGAGGATTTTTTATAATAGTTATGGTTGTTTTAACAATTAAACTTAATATGTTAGTATATGAGAATGTTTTATCAATATTTAATCTTAATATCACTATTTTTTGTTAACAATTTTAGAGCTAAGAGACTAAAAATATAATTTTTTAAAGTTAAAGGACCAAATTAAAATTTTGCATAAAGTTAAAAAACTGAAAGTACTTATATTTTAACATTAAATTTTTGTTGAATTAGGTTCTAAATGGAATTTTAATCTTAGCAAATGAGATTGAACGTTGAAGTTGATATCAGTCGTGATTTTAAAAAAGTAAAACACACAATATTTTCATGTGTTAGTTACAACTCACTCGGTTAATCCTTACAACCTTCATTTTAAGTTTTTGAGTCAGCTTTCTAAATCTAAAGTCTTTCTCTAGAATTATGAATAGAAGTTGGTTTAGTTAATTCAAATCTTATTAGTATCCTGAACTATGTTCCTAGTCATTAAACTAACTTTATTGAATTTAATGTTTGATAGCTTACCAAAACTTTTGGAGGTAAAATTAAGTATTTTTTGTTGGATATTTATCTTTAACTCCTTAAACATTATCCTCTCCAATTTCAAATATAAGGCCTCTTACTACTTTATAAATATTAAAAAAAATTGAACATTAAATTTGTACCAAAAGACAAATTTTTTTCATAATTGCACTATTAAGGAGGGATAAAAATAAAAATAAAAAACTTGGTTAATGAATGTGAAAATTTGGGGAGTGTTTCATACTCTGGAACAAAATTTGGGAGTGGTTATTGTGAAACAGACAATAACTCCAACACAGCCAAATTCAATATAAATCAAGTATAATTCAGTATACAAAAATACATATACATGTCTATGTTACAAAATCACCCATAGCGTTTCAATATACTTCCTGTTTCACTAAACTTTTCATCCCATAATAAATAATATATTTCACAAAACAAGTTTTCTATCACGTCAACATAGTAAAATAAATTTATGATATTACAACACAAAGCAAGTATTTGTTCAAGTCATCAGCTATTAATGTAATTTTTCATACATGTTAATAAATTATGAGTACAAAGAAAACCTATAATATAGAAAATTATAAAAATTCAATAAGAAGAAAAAATTGCAAAAACTTAATTAAAAAAGAGATAAAGAACTTGTATATTGATTTATATTGATTTTCTTACTATTATATTACCTCTTATCTTAAATATAAGAGTTAGGCAAGAGATTTAGTTTGGTGCTAAATATTAGACCACAACTCAAATTGTCTCTTAATTTTATAATTTGTTTCCGAAAGTATATCATTAATCACACATGGCAAGGGGTTCTCCATCAATGGATAGTTACAATACATATAATTAGAAGGTTATTATTGGAAAATAACACAAATCTATTGTTTATAATTTTTTTGGCCAAAAACAAATAATTAACTTAACAAATTTTTTTTTTACAACAATAAATTAATTATCTAACTCTTACATTAGATTAAAAGAAAAGACCTGATTGGCTAGGTTGGACCGAAAACCAATCAATTGATCATCTAGCCTGTCTGATCAACAAAAAAAACTAATGGAGGCTAGCAACCCGATTAACCTGACCGGCTTGGTAGGTTAGCCCAGTTGTTTTTTATTTTTTAAAATTTTTTTTAATGTCATAAAATTACTTCATTTTCTTTTTTTTAAAAAGTATTAATAACAATGTTTTAAAAGCCGGACTGGATATAGAACCAGAAAGGCTAACGGGTCACGGTTCAAACGGTTGGATCGGTCGGACCGATGGTCGAACCAGTGACATAATAATTAAATAAAAATAATATTATATATAATATATAAGATTAAAATGTTAAATAAATTAAAAATGAGTGGTGAAAAAAAAGAAAGAAGCAAAGCCTTTTCTCTTATTTAGCTCTTTAATCTCACCCTCCAAGTTCAATCATGCATTAATACTAGAAAAAATATGATATATTTATTTTAGAAGTGTAAATATCTATATAATCTAAAATTTTAAATAATAATAATAAAATAATGAATAAATATGTGTACATAGCCAACAAAAAGGTGAAAAACCGCAAATTTTGGCCGAGAAAAAAAAACAACAGTGAAATGCTTTACATTATATCAATAAAATATATGCTAATAAAAAAATAAAAATTAAAAAAAGTTGAAAAGACCTAGCCTTCACATTTTACCAAGTGTCAAATGAATTCACCTCCTTTGTTCACGCGTAGTTAATGGCTTCAGTCATGTCTCCTTGCATCTTTCGTCTTTCTTCCCTCCATCGTAGGCAACTCTCAAGTCAAGTTTGAAGTATGCAACTTCTTTCTCTATCATCGCAACCTTCAAAATACCATGAAAGAAGGGGAGGAAACTAATTGATAGGTGGGTTTTAATTGTTTTTGTTCTTCGTTTTTTCCATCTTCTTCATTATCTGTGTCCTTTCTTTTTTCTTCGTCATTCTTGTTTCGACTAGTGAGGGAAAACGCAAAAAAAAAGAGAATGGAATGGCAATCTTAAAAACCGTTCTGTTCTTTAGAAACCGCTCCAGTTTCTGACTCCATTCCGGGTTCTGGCTCAAATGCCGGTTTAAGATGGCCCAAAACGGCTCAAACTCTCAGACGGTCCAAATATAAAGACCAAGCCGTTCAGGCGAACGGTCGACAGCCAGACCGGTCTTGACTGTCTGGTCCGGTCCGGCTTTTAATACACTGATTAATAATCATTAGTTTAGTGATTAAAGAATTGCAGGTAGAAATATTTGTTGTTACTGTAAATCTATTTTGATATTTTGTTAGAATGAACATTTGCTGTTGTATAAAAAAAAAAAAAGAAATGAAGATTTACTGATTTTAATAAATTTTTTTCTTTTTTTAATTTCTGATCGCCATCGTTCAGAGGCCGGCTCTTGGTACCTTGTTAAAAGCAAAACGGAGCAAACAAGAGATATTTGAATGAGGAGGGGACAATACGTGGCGGAGGAAGAGGGAGATGTCGGCGGATCAGAAAGAGGCAAAACGTGAGATCATCACATTCACATGTTCCTTGTTGGACTCATACATATCGGGTCAAAAATTCGCTTTCGTAACTAACCTTTGCATTCTCAACCATACGCATGTCGCCACGCGTCGATAGTGGTCGGTATCATGAAGTTAAAGTGCCTCTGTGGGCGCCCCAAATATGGCCGGCGCCCTGAGAGTGACCCTCGTACTTTCTGTTGTGGGCAACGGGAGACCACCACCTCTCTTTCGTCCATATCTCTATTTTGGACGTTCATCCTTAACGGCGCCACATTTCATTCATCCTAAACATTTTGCCATTTTGCCATATCCATCCGGAGTTGGAGTTTAGCAAAATAGAACCCGTTTAGGCCTGTTTAAAACAGCTTATAAATAATTTATAAATAGTTTTTTAATGATAATTTACAGAATACGAAGTAAATATATGAGAAAATTTAATCTCAACTTACGTAAAACGTGCTTATACAGGATTTCTTAAACCCTCTCAAATGGGCCCATAAGCAGTCTTTTGTAACATATCAAATAAGAATTTGAATTTCTAATATTTAATGTTTGATAGTATATCAAATAAAATTGTCTTCAATAAAAATATATCTATACCTAATAAAAAAAAAATTATAACACCCACATTTACCCCTTATTCATCGTTA